CGAGGAGGACCAGAAGAAGAAAGAGGAAGAGAAAAAGTAAATTTATTGATTTTTTTACTATTCCTTATAGTTTGTGTGAACTGTACTAAAATCCCTCATTTAATTATTGTTAATTTATAATACAAAAACAGGTACTAAATATAATAGTAAAAATATGTCATTTTTTAATACAGTCAATTTTGGTCTTCTTGTTGCATAATGTTTCTTTCTATCTGTTTATATACTATGACGTTTTCGTCGATCTTTTTGCCAAAAAGACCGTACTGCTGGTTTATCTTGAGGGTTTCGTCAAGGAAAGACAAGAACTTGAAAATGTCATCAAAGTCATACCCATTCTTACAAAAATGACGGTGAATGAATTTCCCGATTTCCCAGCTGAAATACCCGTCAGGTTTGTCCAAAAACTCTTTCGTTATGTTTTCCCCAAATTCTCTTTCCGTCAACTTGTATCACGAAAAATGTACTAGATTATAGAGATGATAATCTATAAATAAACTACATTGATTATACTCAGAATATACTATACTTTATAGTAAAATAATAACAATATATAATACAGTAAAACAAGACATCAAACTTTTTTCCTTCCGTCGACGCATCGACAAATCCTTTTACGAGCATCAGAACATAACGAAGGCCCATTCGTCTCATAGAAGCGTCCTTCCACCTCAACACTCTCTTTTCTATGTCATCAAATACTTGTTGTACCTCCCATTCATGAGATGTGATAGGCACAATTGCAGAGAACTCGATCCCATTCTTTATAAGATCGGTCAAGTCCAAGTTGAGAGAGTTCACAGAAAAGTCCGATATCGGCGGATGTGCAGAAACTTTGATATCCACTGTACACCCAAGAGACCCAACACTAATTAACGCCCATGGAACGGGCTCCATCACTAGCGCCTTGTTGAAGAAAAAGGATGGAATGTCCTTCTTGTGAGATGTACTATTTATTATACTATTGTTATATTATTTGTATAATACAAATGTATTATAATAAATATACTATTATATATAGTACAGTAATTGGGATGCTGAAGTATCAAACGTTCTGTGTGAGTGTCATCTTGTTGTTCTTTGCGATGAGAAGCAAAGCTTCTTCTTCAGCCATGAGGACATTATCGAATTGCACATTTTTGATTTGGAAAGCGATGTCGATGTCGGAGATGTCGATTGCATCTGAGTCGTCATAAATGAGAGATCGTACTGAAGAACCGATGAGTTCTACACAATCGACTCGAATAGTATTTTTTTCTAATACATTTATTAAAGTGTTTAAAAGAATAAAAGGAGTTGTTATGATTTTAAAAGTGCCGTCGTCATTAATTAAATTCTGAGGAGCAATCACTAATTCGGTTTGTAACATATCATGAATATAACTCAATCTCTCAAGCGAAACACAATTCGTCACTTTCTCCGTTGCGTCCATTTTGGGAACAAAAATTCAAGTTCGTTTTTAATGGTCTCTTTTATTCCGACTTTTTTAATCTGAAATTGAACTTGCAATGCTAAATTAATATAATTTATTTTATTACTAATAAACTATAATAAACACACATATTAATAATGTTGGTGGATATATAGTTTATATTTTATATAAAAAATGCAGTCGACATTCAAATTCCATGTAAAAAACCCAAAATTAAAGAAACTTTACTTTTCAATTTCCAAAAAGAAGAAAAGGAACTCAATTTTTTTATCATGTCAACGCCGGAAGAAATTCCAATTCCAATGCTTCTGGTTTATCCACGTCCTTTTCTTGACACCGGAAACGCAAATTTCGTTGCGGGGCTTGTTAACAAAATTAAGACGTGTAATTCCTTTGAAAAGAGTTCGGTTGTGTTTGTTGTGTTTTTGAATAACATTTTATATAACATTTTATATAACATAATAGGTGCTATGTTGTTGGGTTGGCTAAACATCCTCGGTCGAACGAAAAAGCGATTGTGATTGCAACGACTGCGATGAAAGGAGATTTTCACATCTTCCGATTGTTAGTGACGTGTTCCCAAAATGATGTGTTGATTTATACGGAATATAAAATTCCGAAATTAGTTCAAAATGGGGAAGATTTTAATGATTTTACTTTGTGTAATGCTGTATTAAATCAAGACTTAAATGGGATAGTAGTTTTAGAAACAAAACGTTTGTTTTCGTTCAAATTAGAATTATTAGTATATGTACTAATAAAAATACTATAAATAAAACGGTATTGATATCAAGGGAGTTTTCTCTTATATTCCGTTATCAACACGAATGGAGTTGGGAAGATGGAAGAGTTAGTGTTATCCCCATATCAAACGAATAGAATAACACAACAAGTAGAAATAGTACCATTTGATATAACTAAAGGGTCGAGTTTTGCGGTGCACACACAAGACTCAATGTGGACTGTTTCTTTTAAAACTAGTTTATTTAGTAAAAAAGTATTAATATATAAACATGAAACGTACGATGAAGCGTGTTGCTTTGTATTAAACACGATGAAAGATATGATTTTAATCACGACGAAAGACGTCTACTCATTAATACCATTTGAACCACTCCAACGCATAGAAAATAAGTTCAACACGATGTCGTTTAAAACATTCACAGAAATGTATTTTAGATATCGACGGCTGTGCGATAAAAGTCAACCGGTCTCATTCACTAGCACACAATTTATGAAGAAACAAAACGACTTTTCTGCGTTTGTAACGACGACGAGCTTCCCGTTAATTGAGCCAAATCTCTTAAATACTTTGCCGGAATCGAAAACTAAGAAACCCGTCATACAAACCATTTTCTTAGGGAAATACTATTACATTTTTATATTAAAAGCTATGGTTTGGATTTGTGATGAGAACGGGGTTTTACATACACTGGAATCAAAGGGATCTCCTTATGAAACTTTATTTGTTGATTCCGATCTCATCTTTTTTGTTTCTGATAATAGAGTGTCGGTTTATGATTTTCACCCGACACATCAAACCGTTTTGGTGGAATCAATGAAAAGTTTAAAAGCGAAAAATCTGTTGAATTTGAGAAGATTGGACGATAATCTGTATATTGAAGATTTGACGTTTAACATTTTCCAGTTGGATTATAATCCTCATTACTTTGTGGAATATTTGTACTCACCAACGAATACGAGACTTACGTTTTTGCATATGCTCTTTCACACCCCGTGTCACTTTCTATAACAAAGAATGAATATACTATAGTCCCGTTTTGCCAGAAATTTGAGAATATCACGGCAGATTATTGATTG